ACCAGCAAAACTGGAGTGACTGCCATGGATTATGCAATGTGGAAACCCTAAAATTGGCTTTGGAAGGAAGTACGTACACGTGGCCTGCAAAAACAGTACCAGAAACTCAATGCCGTGAACATGCTGTCGCATATGACACTGACTGAGTTAAAGGGCAAAACGCTTATCATTAATAACTATATTGACGGCAGATGCTTTGAAAAATACCCTGCATTAACAACAAAAGCAAGTATTTTCATATTCAGGACAGAACAGTCACTCAGATTTATCAGCCCATTAACTTTATAAACACAGCATTAGCTGCGGTTTAAGTGTGATGTGGTGCATCTGTAATGAGAAATTCTTTGGGTGGCATTTTATAATTAAATATCTCATGAACTATTTGTAAGGTCAAGAGAGATTAATGCAAGATGTCAGGCAAGGTCACCGTGTGGATTTCTAGAGAATTCCACCCTCTCAAAGAGGCATTATCACAACTACTATTTTCTTAAATACAGTAAGTCACAACGTGCACAATTTATACAGCAAAAACTCCGCGTGCATTAATAGTATAAATGCAGAAGTGATTTGTTTTGATGACTTGTTTTGAAATAGGGAATATTGTGGCTTTAGGCCACATGCAAATTTTCTCATTACTTTGGATAACTCAACAGCATACAGTGTCAGAATGTGGTAACAAAACATGATGATTATAAAGGTATCGCACCTTAGACTGACGGGGAGAAGAGGAACCATCTGAAGTGGTTTCTGGACACGCTGTTGTACCGGCAGCAAGCTGCAGCAGCTCCCAGCTCTCCCCCACCCCAGCATCCCCCGGCGCGAGAGGGGGGAAGCAAGCATCCCCGGCAGCGAGCGTGGGGAAGCAGCTCCCCTCGCTCCGGGAGCAGCCACCCGGCACCAGGCTTCAGTCAGCACGTACCACATGCCACGGCACCAGCCAGTCAAATATACAACTTGAAACGGAGGAAACCCAGTCATTTAACTAAGGGTTGCTGGTTCACACCATCACCTAGGTCCTACAGCCAGCTTTCGCAAGACCAGGCTACACCTTGTCAACTCTGTATCTGTTCTAAAACGCCAAAAATATTTTCTGTGTCATTGGAAAACAAAGCAATAACCTGTATGTATTTTAGTATGGTGTCTGAAAGTCATAATAGAACACATGTCAAAGAAAAAACATGTCTGAGCACGTACTAGGAATTTTGCTTTTCCTTGTTCAAAGAACTGAAATTCTGAACAACTGTCCAGTTTTCAAACTAATTCCTTCTGCAGTATTACATATGTGGAGTAAAAACGAGATTGGCCTTTTAACAAGCATGATCATATAAAGAAAAAAACCATCCTGAGAACAGCATTTCCTGGCAAGCAATATTCCCATTTTTGGCAAGCCTTCACCTATCCTGCCTCCCTTTCGGAGGCACCTTGCTGCGGGACAGTCCCCACACCAGTGTGCTGCGGACCACATTCACAGAAGACCGGAGTAGACCTCCAACTGCCAACAACAGTCTGGGACACCACGCCAACACCCTTCTACTTTATCCCGATCCGAAGAACCCGCTCTAGGTGTGATGTGGCGCAGGTGGCTATGGTGGAAATGCCACAAACCAAAGCTCTTTCCAAGATTTGCTGTCAGAGGTACTGGTGTAATATGCTCTGCTTGAGCAAAATATCTGAGAAAATAGTAACTTCTCACCTCTGCGGAAATGTGACATTGTACTGTGGGTTCAGGACAGGTCACACCAGCAAGACAGCAATACTGACTTACATCAAACTCGTGTAGTAAGGAAGGACTGTATGTGAAAAGTGATGAAAAAGATCAAGTTTACTGCTAATGCCATCATCAACCAAAGCATAACCCAGTATCTCCTGTACCTTTTTCCTCCAACTAGTCTTTATTTCTGATCTTCCTCTGGCTCTTCATCTATTTCAGATATTACTTCACAGCCTCAAATTAAATTTTCAGCTTTTAACATGTCAAGCTTTGTCTACACTGAAGACACAGTCAGCCAGACAGTTGTGCAGTGTTTCTGAGATAATGATTAATAGGCGTTCAACGCCAGAGTTTATAAAACTGTGCTAAGCTTTATGTAACAAAAATAACATGCAAATGGATAAACAAAGACACTGACAGAAAGAACTTGTGAGGATCAAAGATGGGCCCAAGCGTCTTAGTTATGCTTCTGACAAAGCAACACCACCAACGATGGGCTCACATCAGACCTACACAACTGTGAGAACGGCAAAGACAAGGCACTGGTGATGGAAATGATCCATGATAAAGAAGCCTAAAAGACAAACAAAGCTTATTTTGACTCAAATATCAGTCTGCAGAGATGGAAAGGTGGACTCAGCCTTCCACTGTAACAGAAAACCAGGGAAGAACCTGTCTTGACCACCTGAGGACAGACAATCCCTTCTGCTGGCGCATCCAGAGACATGGGAAAGTCTTCTCCCTCCTTTCATTTCCTGTTACCATTTGAAGAGACAAATAGCTTTGAAACTTAAAATGGGCAATAATGCAGAACACACGAGAAAACAGATATACAAATAACACCCCAATAACTCCAGTTAAAAAAACCCAAACAACAAAAAACCAAAAAACCACAAGTATTTAAAGCAGAGCTCCATATACCTCCAAGAAACTGTAAAACAAGAGGAAGCAGAGAATTGCAAGACTTTTTATTTCAGTTTGCAAAGGGCTGACAGAATCATCTTGTTTACCAAAGCAATGGATCTGCAAATGAGTTATATGGAGATGTCAGCTGAAAAAAATGACAGACCTTTCCCCAGGTTTCTCAGAAACATGACTTGGTTTGTCAAGTGCTGCACAGCCAACCCTACATTTCCATACTGTCACAACCAGGACTGCGCATTTTTCAAATGCGAGCACTGTGCTGTGTATGCACTCTCTCAACCAGCCTTCCTTTGCCTTCCAAAAACCAGTGGAAGAAGCACCACGCTTCATGGAAGGTGAATTTCGGCCATCTACTGTGTGGAAGATGGAGGCTGTGCCCACACCAGTGACTTTAGCAGTGCTCCAGGATGTTCTCGAGCCCCTGAACGTGTTCTTCTGCAATTCAGTTGAAGTGGCTGCTAGCTCAGTGCTGCTGGGTGCCCGCTCACACCCTCCTGCACAACTCCTGGCATGGCTCAGGGCTGCGTGGGCAACGGACCATTCCCCGCGGGCAGGATGCATGCCACTACCTTCTCTAAAGGCTCAGGGAATTTAGCAGCATGGGTGCAAACCATCCCCGGTTAATGGCCCTCAACAGAAGGGAATGGTCTACAATATGTTTAATCTATTAGTACAGTAATAAAGCTGTGTTTATCTATTATTGTTATAGTATTACATTGCCATGTAACTAAAAAGGCAGCACTTTCCCTGCACTTCATAAAATAAAAATATAAAATTTATCATCATTACCTACATATTTTATAGGAAAATGAGTTAGAATAAAAAATTACTAGAAAAAAATCAGAATGAGTTTTGCAGCTTTTCTCTCCAGAAGTCTTTGTAGCCTGATACAGACTGGGAACGAGACTACTTTCCAGCACAAAGAAGCAGAAACACAAGAAAAGAGACCAAGACAAAGCATGTCCTCAATCAGGCTGTAGCAGAGAAGGCCTTCAAGGGACAGAATACTGCTCTGAGAGACACACATCTCCTCCAAATCATTTTCAGGTTTGATGCACTGAACAGCGCACTGTGGAAGTAAGCCTGTACAGCGCATGTAACCAGGGCTCCAGAGAGGACAGTCCCTCTCTCTTATCATTACTACCAGGCCTCCCCCGTAATAGCTTTGAGCTGAGACAATACGCTGCTTTTCAATTATTTGTGTTTTTCACTTTCCCTCAAATGCGCTTGGGCATCAGGTGAAGACTGAACTAGTGCAGGAGGAGAAATCCACTGCTGTGGAATTCTTTTGTAACTAATCAGATAGTGGATGGTTTTTCAAGCAACACTGGCCATGAGTCTGTAGTGCTTCAGAGAGATCTTACAGAGATGACAAAGGGGACTTTTGCCAGCCTCCACATAAGACAAACAAATACCAGCATTCTCAGGAACCCGGCCAAAATAATGGTATGAATCAGGGCACCGCTGCTGCATTTGCTTCCACTACATTTTGCACTATTAACATCAAAGAGTCAATGCACAGATATGTAACCATCTTCGGTAAGATCATATTTACTGTCCATACTAAGGATAATTACATCAGCGCTACAGTACTAATTTTAACAGGATCAGACTGTTACATTTTATACAGCATATCTTGAATTCCACCATTTTCCATGAAATTCATCCGTCTGATTTTTACATCGGACATTTTGCATGCTTCTACACACACTCCTCCTCACCAAGTACGTTTTTCTATAGCCTACTGATCAACACCCCAAAATGTAGGTGTGTGAAGTAAGCAAACTCGCCAGTGCTCAGTTACAGGGGGAACGACTCCACCAAGAGCAAGACCTACCAAGCGCTGAAAGTGAAGGTTAGTTGATGGAGGAGGCAGGATGAGCGCTGATAGTCTCCTCCCCCTTTCTCTACTAACACAAGCAACGTTTTCAGGATCAAAAAAAAAAAAGAAAAAAAAGGAAAAAAAGAAGAACAAATTGCATAAGTGCAGTCTGAAATGCAAGTGTTTTGGTTTAACTGGGAGGAGAATAAAGGACGTCAGAGTTTCACCAGAAGAGCTGGCCGATGCCAGAAAGCGCCAGACTGGTTCTCCCCCGCGGTCGGTGCCTCCCTCCCAGCAGCACCACTGCAAACCCCACACCCAGTCCCCAGCTCCACCGCGCCATTCTGCTTGCTCTGTCAGCACTGATTTCTTGGCAACCTCTTACTGTGGCGTTGCTTATTGTACATTCAAAATTGCTAATCCTTATCTTTTCCAGTGAAAGGATATTTTAAATGAACTGGTTTGTACTGAAAGGTAAATAACACCCCCTTCTCCCTGCCCCCAATACTGGAGACAAGGGAAAACAGTATTCAGGATACTCACAGGTATGCCTTGCCAAGGAATAATTAGATCCACCGCTAGTCAAACCAAATCCCTCGGGAATCTGACTGGAACTACGTGGCCGAGTGAGAAGTTTTGGAGGTTCGATTTCAGCTCCAAATTCCGCCCCGATCACTCCCAGCAGGACGATGGCCGTGGCTTGTTTCCGTCGCTCTTCATAGGACGTAGATATTTTTTTCATTTGTGGGAGACCAGAGAGACAACCTAAAATGAAAAGTAACAAATATGAGAAAAATCAAAACCAGAGTTGATCTTTAATACTCCAAACAACACTGTGTTTCCCAGAGAAAATAAAAGATGTTTCCGTTTAAATTAAATCAAATCTTCAGGACTGTTACTGCCCTTACCGGGATTTTCGGCTGGTGCAGATGATTTCATTTTAGTTCTCAAAACCTACAATACACAATAAAAGTCTAAATAGCACCTATTGCAAGGTCTGTCTTCAGTGAAACCCACCCATTCAAAAACTGTCAAGATCTGACAGGATAAGAAGAGCCACCAGAAGACTGTCTAATGTCAGAGTTTTATTTGTTCAGTTGATAAAAGATCTGTGGAACTCTGTGTTTGTCTAGTTTTTGTGAAAGGTAATTTTTGGTTTGCTTCTTGTTAATTTTAGATTTGCGTAACAAGCTGTAAATTTTTTTTTTTTTTTAAAGACGATGGATTTTTAGGATAACTTATTTGTATTATACAAACACATCTTTTTGTTCTAGGATCCATCATCACATTCAGATTCTTACTAAATTTTAGCATAACAGTATATGTCATTAAACCACACTAGTGTTTTTGTAACACTGAAATGTTACATATGGTATTTCAACATACATTCTTAAAAACACTGGAAAAAGCCTCACCGTATTATGAATTTGAAATAAAACTGAACTTTACAGCATTAGTGTAATACAGCCCAAAGATTTTGAATTTCACTAAGCAGATGGAGTTTGGTTTTTTGGAGTAAGGAAAGAAAATCTTAGAAGAAATTGCCTGGAATGAAAATACCATATTCATATACTCAGACGAGTACAGTTCACTTTTACCTATAACACTAATTCACAGCACACTAGGAAACGCCCTACCATATATTCTACAAAAATAATGAAGTCTTAATCCTTCTTACAGCAACTCCGCTGTTAAACCTTTGCTGAGAAGTCGAAAGGCACCACCTGGCACCGAATGCAACTCGTTGGGCTTGTGGATTAACGAAGGGTGAATTAGCGAGTTGCACTGGATGTCTCTCTCTGCTAATGACATTCACGTGACTCAATAGGAAAGAAAACATTACCTAGAAGAAAGCTAACCAAATTTTAGAACCTATGTTAGAAGACCATCCCACGCTGCAGCTGTGACAGCAATGTGCCAGCAAAAAGGGAGAGAAAAACAACAGAAAGCTTAACAATGGTAGGGGAGGGGGGGGGAAAAAAAAAAAGGAAAGAAAAAAATCAATAGTAACTGCCTTCAGAGGAAGAAGGATGAAAACAGGCTGTAACAGACAAAGCAAAAGACGTAACAGCTCTAATTGTTCAGCAATCGCTTATCCCACTCCCGCCATCTGCAGACACCACTTTACCACTTTCTCGTTACCGTTTGCACCTTACACCGCGCTGCCGCCTCTCCTCCCCAGCGCCCGGGGAGCACAAGGCCCGCAAGCGGGGCACGGCAGCCCACGCCGTAGCCTGGCACAGCCCCCTTCCTGGGGGTGCTCCCCGCTTCCTGGGGGTGCCCCCGCCGCAAATGACTGATGGCGGCTCCCTCCCGAAAAACGCCTCTAGCCCAGGTGCTCAGACAGAGCCCGGTGTGACATCTTATATCAAGATGAATTGGCACAAAGTCCTGATCCAAGATTGTTTTATACCATTTAATTTAGTTTCTTCCCCTGCTTGGATGAGCACAGCTCTGGTTATGGATTTCTATTCTAATGCGCTGCAGCAGGCGCGGGGAGCCGGCAGCGGAGGAGGTGCTGGG